AAGAGAAGAAATAGAAGAGAAGAGAAGAGAATAGGAATGGGAATTATAGAGAAGAGAAGACATAGAAGAGAAGAGAATAGGAATGGGAATTATAGGAAAGAAGAGAACAGAATAGCTGGAAGGCACCTTGGAGGTCCTCTAGTCTAACCCCCTGCTCAGGCAGGAAGCCCTATACCATTTCAGACAAACTGTTTTCTAATCTCTTCTTTAAAAACTTCCAGTGTTGGCGCATTCACAACTTCTGGAGGCAAATTGTTCCGCTGATTAATTGTTTCTGACGGTGAGGAAACGTCTCCTTAGTTCTAGGTTGTTTCTCTCCTCTCCAAGGAGAGGCCCTTCCGGGCCTCAACGTTTCGAGGCTTAGCCCAACGGCCTGGAATTTGCTCCGTGCGCTAACCCTGGCGCCCTGCCCCCAAACCGGCCCAGAGCTTCGTTCCAAATATCAGCGGGAGGCTGTTTTTGTTCTCAGGCACACACTCCAGGCTTCTTAAATTCCGAATGACGCCGCCCACCAGTGGCACGACGCACACCTTTCAGCTCAGGCCAGAGGAGGGGGAGCTGGGCAAAAGCGGGCAGTTGGCTTTCCGTCACTGAGACCTGCAGCGAGCTGGAAGGAACCCAAGGAGACCAGCTGAAGAAGCAAGGAGGAGCTGGCCAAGAGGTCGCTTGAGCTCCATCCGTGGGCCACAACCCATGAAAACCTTTCCTGCCTCCATGGAAAAGAAAGAAGAGATGCTCCCAATCAATTCTCGGTGGTTCCCCCCCCCCCCCCCAAAGTTGGCAACTTCTTCACACGGGTCTTCAAACTTGACAGCTTCCAGACTTGTGGACTTCAACTCCCAGAATCCCTCCTCCAGTCGTGTTAGCTCAGGAATTCTGGGAGTTGAAGGCCACAAGTCTTAAAGTTGCCAAGTTTGAAGACCCTTGTCTTTAAGATGTGTGGGCCACCTCCCAGAATTCATGATGGTTGAGGAATTCTGGGACTTGGAAGTCCTCACATCTTGAAATGGCCAAGTTTGAAGAACCTGGAGTTAGAAGCAGAAGATGCAGAATACAGAGTAA